ATTTTCCCTTATTTCCTTTCCCCTACCCAATCATACCACAGTGATATATGCACACCCATGTTTATAATGGCACAGTTTAAAATAGCTAAAACTTGGAAACCGCCCAATTGCCATTAGTTAGAGACTGAATAAAGAAAATGTGTTTTTTTAACAAAATGGAATACTACACCATCATAAAGAAAGAGAAACTAGAGTCACTCATAGGAAAATGGATGCCATACTCATAAGCGAAATAAATAAGACACACATGTGTAGATACTGAATAGTTTCTCTGGTGTCAAAAACTAAAAGTGTAAATAAGATCCAAATTGTATAACTGATTTGATTTTTTTATTTATTTCTTATTTTATTTACCTCTCAAGATCAGAAAATGAAATTTTTGTATTTAAGCTTTCCTTTATTATTTCATCACTGGATGGTTCACTTTTTTTGGATTTATTTATTCAACATATATTTCAAGGATTAGTGGTTATTTTAATAATATCTAAAGTATAGCCATCAATAGGGTTCATTCTTAATATAAGCTAAATTATACCGTTATCCTGTAATGCTGAATCAGAGTGGTTGAGCGATGCTGTTATTTGAATCAACCCGTCTCCCAGATGTGCATGGATTGAAGGCTTTGTCCTCAGTTTGGTGCTATTAGGAGGTGATTGAAACTTTGAAGAGATTGAGCCCACCAGGAGGTTTTAGGTCATGGGGTGTGCCCTTAAATGGGATTGTAGGATTCTGGTCTCTTCTCTTTCGCACTTGGCCCTGAGGTCAACGTGCTTCCTCTCACCTACACTCCTGCTATGAATGTGCTATCACAGGGGTGGAGCCATGGGGTGGAGAGCAAAAGTAAGCCTTTCTTCTTTTTAAGGTGATTATCTTCAATATTGGTTACAGTATCAGAAACTAACCTAAGATAGCATGTATTGACTTTTCTTGATTGATTTTATTTCTCTTTATTTTATGCTACTTTCTGGCCAGAATTTGGGAGGGTTCATTTTTATTTTTTTCATTACTACGTTTGTAGTCCATAATGTTTACCTTCCTCGCATGGAGTAGGTGCTTGCACATAACACATCTTAATTCCTTTTTGCATTTCCTTTCCCTCCCTCTCTCCATCTCTTGATCCCCTCTCATTTCAAAAAGATCTATCTCCCTACTTCCTATTATCTATCTTTCATTTTGCTCTTTATTTATAATTTTGATTGCTCGCAAAAGAAAAAACATGCAACGTTTAAGATTGGGTGTCTGATTTATTTCACTTAACATTATGGACTCAAGGTGCATCCATTTTTCTACAAATGACTCAAGTTTATCTTTCTTTATGATAGAGCAATTTTAATTCACAAACAAGTCAAGCAGCGATATCTTTATCATGGAGAAGCACCCTTAAATCCACTTACTTGGAAATACACAATTTTCATCAGCTACTTGTCTTGGCAGCAACTTTTAAACTTCCTTGAGAAGACATCCCACTCATGCTTACAGAAGGCGCTCTCCTAGCCACTCTTTTTCTAATACTAAATGAAGCCACCTGATGTTCTCTGCTGCCTACGAAGCATCACAATGGATTACTGCTCCTCTCCACCAACCCCTAACCCAGGATGTAGCCAACAGAATACCAAAATGCATGCCCAGCTGGAGTGGGGTGAGATAGTAGTGGCCGAAATTAAATCTAGAAACTTATTACTGAAAGTGTGGTCTTCTCACCCAGGGGCATCAGCATCATCTGCAAGCTTGTTAGAAATGCAGAATTGCAGGTTTCATCCCAAATACACTGAATTGTAACTCACGTGATAAAAATATTTTCAGTAATTGTTAGGCACATCAGTTTGAATAGCAAAGGCCTAAAACAGCAATGCTTGAAGTGTTGCTTCAGGCCCCTGTATACGCTTCTCCTGGGAAACTGTGAGAAATGCAAAAAAACTCAGGCCTGTGATTTTATTGTGCAGCTCATATAAGAGAAACCACGTGATATTTAACCTCCTACATCTGATTAATTTCACTTAGCATTATGATCTCAAAGTGGTGACCTTCTAGTGTGTATCTTTCTCAACTATTTTGTCACTGGTACTCTATGTGCACCAATGCCCATCCATCCCAAGCTGGTTATGAAGAAGGGACTGGGGTTAAAACTCTAGGGCCACATGAGTGTGTTTGCCCTAAATATCCCCTTTGCACTTCTTCCCTTGACCCTCTGGCCAGAATATCAAGCACCAAATATATAGCGTCCCCACCATTTTTTTCCTTTGAGGAAACTAACTAATGTCCCATATATGATCTACCCACCAAAGGGTGGTGGCCAGCTTTTCTTTTTATATTGAGTAACTCAGCCCCCCTCAACAATAGGCCTTTTCATTTTCAGATTTCCCCTACTGTGCCAAGTTTTTCTTGATAAACCTCTAAGGGAAATTCACTTACAGATCTTGCCTGCCCACAGAGCGGAGGTCTGTACATGACATCGCAACTTATGTCAAACATTTACAGACAGTTATCAAGCCTCCTCTAAGGTTCCCCTAGTTCTTAAAGGTTCAGAATTCATTTTCCCTCTCCATTGTAGATGTAGTTGGGGGCAGCCCAGACCCATTTTCTGGGCCACATTTCCATGGCCCAGGTACTCTGAGTGTTGTCTGTTAAAGGCTCAAGGTACACCCTTCCCTGGAAATGCCCAGGTGGATGGAAGCCACAGCTAATGACTATCGGGGAGCACAAAAGCCTCCTTGTTTCCAAGTGGGACAATTACCTCTACACCTAACCCCCTTCCCTGTTCTGAAAACTCTCTCTCCACCAATTACTTGATGAAAACTCACTGTTTAAGCTCTTCTAGAAAATTGACCTAAAATACTCTTCCTGTGAGTGTTATGCGCTCACCCACACTGCCACACATCTGTTTGATTAGTCAGGACTAAAACTGCACCCTGAGCTCCAAAGCAATAATGCAGGAAAGAAAACTGGAAAACAGGTTTGACTGGTTCCTCAGGGTAGTGTCAGGGCTGCAGCCTGGGAGGCCAGAATAGCAGCTGCCACCCCCACATAGACATGGTGTTAGAAGGAAAAGACCCATTTTTCAATAGTGTGGTCTTTTTTTTTTTTTTTTGGTACCGGGGATTGAACTCTGGTCCTTGCACTTGCAAGGCAGGCCACCGAACCGCTGAGCTAAATCCCTGGCCCGTTAAGGTTTTGTTTTTTGTTTTTTGTTTTTTTTTTCAATGGTGTGGTCTTTGTGCCCCAGCCACATGTAAATTAATTACAAAAAATAGGCCTAATGTTCAGCCCCTTTCTGCAGGGGCATTTGTAATGTGATTTCTCAGTTCTTCCAATCTTGATGTAAATTGTGTTTCACCCATAGTCTTTGAGTCTGGTCTCTGACTTGTTCTAACCAGTAGAATGTGCCAGAATGAAAGGTTTCAAGTCTGACTTCTAGGGCCCTTAGGCACCTTACCTCTTTCTGTCCACTTCATCAGCCCCATATGATGATGCCCAGATGGGCCTGCTGAAAGACAGGCAAGTTGCACTGTGACACCATTCCCAAACTGACCGCCAAATACCTGCATGAGGCCATCCTAGAGCAACCATCCTCCAGCTGACTGACCACTCACAGCCAAGCCTAGCTGAGAAGAGCAGAGCAAAAAACCAGACCAAAAAGGCCACCCACCTGACCAGTGACCATGATAAGTGTCATAAATGTGAGATAAATTTATTTATCTCACAGTTTGTGGAGTTTTCGGTCCATAGTTGGCTGGCCTCAAGGCAGAGTAGCATCACCTAGATGCCTGGCAAGTGGAAGAAAACAAAGCAACAGGAGGCAATCGCAACTCTTTCTCTTATATCTTATCTGGGATACTTAGGGCAGATAGCATTCACTTCTTAATCCTAGTGCCCTTGAGCCTAGCATCACACCATGAACCAATCCCAGCATCAGAGATGGATCTACAGCCATCTCTGGAAAAAAGCCCCACCTATGACTGCATGAGACTTTGCAGAACATCTAGACACAAGACATAAGAAGTAATACTGGGTTGTTGGAGGTCATGGAGTTTTGACATGGCTTGTTAGACAATGCTATTGCAACAACGCTTAACTGATGCCTATTAACTTTCTGGCCCTTCTTGAGAAATCCAAACATAAGACAGATGCATTAAACTATAAACTGCTTGGAAACTTGACTCTAGACATGGAGAGATAAGTACACAATCCAGGGCTGTAGAGAAGAAAGACACTTTGGTGGCCAGAAAACATAGTGTCTGGGCAAGGTTAGATAGAACTCAGAGGGGGCCCCCTAAGCCACAAGCAATCTAGCCTGAGACTTCTGGAAAGTCACAGGGGGAGGAAGTGATGAGAAGGCAGATTCTATTTTTGTTATGTGGTTTAGAAAATGTACCTGAGATGCTAGCAGGGAGTAAATCAAGAAGGCTGACTTGTAGGACCAACACAAGATTCCATTTTATGAAAGATGTGGGAGACAAAGAGGGAAGAGCCCAGAAATGTGAAATTGGGAGGAGTAAAATTAAAATGAAGCTTTTTATAGCTTGAATATCTGCATATAGTAAGTCATGCAAATCTTAAGCATCTGTGCTCAGCGAATTGATGGTTTAAGCCCCCATAGCAACATGAAGCAGCTGTTCAGCACTCAGAAGGGTCCCTCATTCCCATTCCCCTCAATACCACCATCCTCCAGAGGTAAGCCCTCTTCTGTCTTCTGCAACTAGAGATTAGTTTTGCCCAGCTTTGAACTTCATATAGATAGAATGGTGCTCTATGTGCTCATAAATCTAGCTTTTTCTGCCCATCATTTTGCCTGGAAGATTCTGGGTGCTTGTTTTAGTCTTATTCTTTTGTATCATTCTGTAGTGTTCCATTGTATGATTATATCACAACTTATTCTACTCTGCTACTTTCAACATATGGGCTACTTCCAGCTTTGACTTTATGAAAAGTGCAGCTATAAACATTCTCATACTTGCCTTTTAGTGCACACACACTCTCTTTTCTCCTGAGAAACCAATGGCATTTTTATTTTATTTTTACCTTTTTTGCATGTCATCCTTCCCCAGGGCCTATGCTAGCTAATCTGCTTTGTATTTCTTCAATTTTAGTATATGTGCTGCTGAAGCCAGCACAATTGGTGCCTTTTAATCAACCTCTCCTTTGTCCACCCACCGGCCTGGGAAATGACCAGACATAGTCACTTTTGACCACAGGGTTAGATAAGAACTTGCCTCTGAATCCATCCACAGCCTACTCTGGGAGGAGGGGAAATAGAAGGAAAAGGAATAAGAAGTAAAGAGCAGGCAGATTCTGTGACATCAGAAGTAATCAACATCAGTCCTTCCTAACTTCGCATATTCTCTGTCATGGCCTCCCCGGGTACCATAAATAACGGCATTTGCTTGAATTAAAGATTTGAAGACTTCTTTTAAAATGCAAATATGGGTTTCAGAAGGACAAACCCATAAAATAATTAAAATATTACCTTTGTCTGGTGCTTTATAATGTCCAAATTGTTCTCTTATTTATCAGCCCTCTCACTACCCAGAGTGGTCACCAGCATAAACTCCATAGCCTGAGAGTTTTTTAGAAATGCAGAATCTCAGACCTCAGCCCAGATTGGTGAAATCAGAGTTTGCATTTTAACAAGATTCCCAAGTAGTTCCTGTACACATTAAACTTTATGAACCCTGGTATTCTACGCTTAGTACTTTATACAATGCTCTACCAAACAGAAAAGGGAGAGGTGATTGTTCCCATTTTACAGATGGGAAAATCAAGATACAGAAAGATGAGGTTGACATGCCAAGGGCACCTCCCTGAATCTGTGCCTGGCACGAACTCTAGATGGAAGCTTTGTTGATTCTCTGAGTAGTTATTTCCCTTCTTTCACACTAATATCTGCTTAAATATCTAATACCCATCAGGCCAGCCAGCCTGTTTCTGCCTAGATCTCAGTGTCTTAAGAGGGTGCATTACCATCTAGGTAACTCGGGAGAGGGGCGTGAGGAGTCACCAAGGACATAACATCAGGCTGTGGCAAGTGGGGAGGAGGACAAAGAAAGGAGTGGAAGAGCAGAGAGGGGAAAGAAAGAGGGCTGCAGTGATACCAGAGAGCTACTCAGGTTCCTGGCTTTGCTGTTTGTTCCTCCTTTGCCTGCAGTCAGAAGCCTGTGCTGTGACGCAGTCTGTAAGAGGCTGCTGGCAGCCAGCCCAGAGCTGGCGCAGGTCCTCACTGCGGAGCAGCTCTCAGCTCTGCAGGGGGACTCGAGGCTGCTGGTGCACCTTCACTGGAGCCTGCAGAGTGTCGCCACCACCTGTGCCAGAGGGCACGCAGCTCTGCAGTAAAGGCAGCCAGGCTGCAGCACTGCTGGAAAGGTGGAGGAAGTAACAGTAACAGAGACAGGTGCAGGGAATGTCCGCATACACGTAGAAGAGCAGGGGACTCACATCCTTTTCTGCTCCTCTAGGTTTCAGACTTGCTCTGCCTGTCCTGGGAATGTCCAGATATTTCCTCCTTGACTGTGAGCTCTATAAGAGCCCCATAGCCAGATGACTGGCTCTCTGCAAGACTGGGGGTTCAGATCAGTGAAACTTACCTAGATTCTATGGCTCCCCTTCAAGTCCAGCTGAAGAGGGCTGGAAAATACACTGAGGGCTCTGCCTGCCCACATAGCAGCACAGGAAGACACCGAGGAGACACGAAGCCTCCCACACACCACCCTCATGGTGTCAGACATCAAAGGTACAGTCAGCAGTGGCGTTGCAAAGCCAATGACTAATCTGTTTCCTAGCTCACCAGGATGACTCTAATAGGACAAAAGGGAAGGGGCACCGGAGGCTGGTGGGAGAGCTACCTAGGACAAGCCAAGAAGCTTGTGGGAATGCAAAAATCACAATGTGGGCTGAGCTGTCCCAGTGGAGTGTGACTTATCAATTCCCTAAACTGAAAGAATAGAACTCCTGCTAGGGCCCTGACCTGCAGCCTGCTGGGTCCTCCCAGCTGTCCAAATGGCTTCCATAAAGTTTACCCTTCTACCGTAGATGACTTTCCTTCCCCAGTGTTGGCAGACAGTTGCCCCTTTCCATGAATATCTGTGGCCTGTATATTCAGTCAGTACCCCGTTGTGTTAGTAAGGTTACAGATGTCCTTTCTACCATATGGTTTACTTATCCTACAAATATTTATTGAGCACTGCTTGACACATAGCACTGTGTAAGGTGCTAGGGAGGGTGCAAAGAAAAAAAAGACAAACCCCAGAAAAGCCATGAGACATTTGAAGAAATATTCAAGGTCATGAGATAGCCCATTTCCATTGTGAAAGAAACTGAGCACTTGCTATGAAAGTGTGCATCTCTGAGAGTCTGTCAGAGACCCCACAACTCCATAATCAAAAGCTGCCTTTTAAGGAGAGCCCAAGTACATTAAAGTTTAAGATTCACTGATCTAGACAAGGGGAGTTCTAGGAGTTCAGGGGAGAAAGAAAGATCAGGAGAGAGAGAGAGAGAGAGAGAGAGAGAGAGAGAGAGAGAGAGAAATTATTGTGCACTTTGATTATCATCAAAACATTATGCAGGAGTTTGCCTTTGAAGAATGTCTGGCCTTTGGCTGGTACAGAGGTCTCAAGGAATAGTAATTTCCACTTCCAGGGAGCTAAGATTTCCTTTAAGAAAAACATATCTGCAAACTGCAGTAGGCAGTAAAATTTTGCAGGCATATTTTCCACAACAGTAAAAGCTTTGAGTCAGGTAGGATGAATCTGCAAATTCTTGTGACTGATGGTGTCAGAATCTCCATATGGCAGCTTTCCCAGGGTGGACAGTTTCAAGGTCAGACAGCCTGTTGTCCTGGAACGGACCAGCCCACACAAGATTCTTGTCCTTGCCCAACCTGCCTTCTGTCAATTAGATGAACCAATGAGAAACTAGCTTATTATTTTCCAGCAGTTATTCAGCCAATTGTGGATTCCCAGCAAACTGAGTCTTGGAATGGTATTATGTAAAGGCTAGTGAGGTGGCTGCTTTGTCAGGGCTGCACAGTAAAGCAGATAAATCACTGTGAAGTTGAGATTAGAGACTTTTCACCATGAGTACTGTTTCATATTGGAGCAGCTTGAGTAGGTGACTCAGTTGTTCTCTGACTCAACTTCCCTGAATTCCATTGAAGAACTAAGAGTTTTATTTTAAATCTGAAAATTGAAACAAGCAAATAAACAGATCAGAGCATGGCTCTCACTACCATTATCTCCCATGTCAACCTACATTCCATAATATCTATTGAATTGATTCCTCTTCGACACTATTTTTTTCTCATTGAATTTATTGGTATATTTTTAGTATACAGTACAGTTACATTCATCATTGGGCTCTGTACCCTTACATGACAGGTCTTGGTTCTCATTTTTCCTCAGACCCCTGCCCTCCCTTCACACCCTTCTCCCTTCCCTATTTACAAAAACTTTATTTCCATTTTTTCATTTTCTCATATTTTTTCTTTTCCCTTATTTCCTTCTCCTTGACATTATTTTCTAAAGCACATACATCTGTACTCTCTAACCTTTGCAACCATGGCTTTTGTTTAGGAGGCTGACTGAGATAAGAAGCTGTCTGAGATTGAGTAGCAGGACCAGTTGGCTGCCTCACACGAAATGAAACCTAGGATTTTGACTTCACTAATCCCGTTGATCTGATGCTCAGTTAACAAGACAGTAACACCTGTCATGAACCACCACTGCCCACCATCACAACACCTCTCTGTCATCTCCACCCCAACTCCAGGAAGCTGAAGGCACCGAATCATGGAGCACGCAATCATGGAGAAGAGTAAATATCTTCCCTTTATTTAAGGGCTCTGATCTTTTGGAAAGGGCTTTGAAGGGAAGAGGTTCACGCTTCAAAGGCTCCTGCCACCATTTTCCCTGTGTCTTGCAGAGGCTGAACATACTGTGCTGTTTTTAAAATGATCAAATGAAAGCATGAGAACTCTGGAAACCATGCTGAGAGGGAACGATTGAAGGCATGGATGGAGCAGAGATGGAAGATGACTTCAAATGTTGGCGTGTTGGAGGGAATAGAGGCAGCAACTTTCTTCTCCGTGTTCCCCACAGGGAGAACAAGAGTTTAGTTGAAGGACATACTTCTGCGCAGCGAAAAGTTACCCAAGAGCAGGAGGGCAATGCCCTACTCCCCAAGGGAATCGTGCCTCATCCTGACAGTCACTTAAGCTGAAGATGTGTGGCTATTTCAGGAGACACCTGCATGATAAAAGAAAGGTTACAATAGAACTTTTTTGTTCTTTCAACTCTGAAATGCTGTGATACATGTAAAGCTAACATTCCTAGAGTAGGTCTGTTGGCCTCATTTTTATATCTTATCCCATTTAAGACCCACAGCTGCCCAACAAGACAGGTGCAATATTTTTCTCCACTCCTTCTCCTTGAAATATGGTTGCTTCAGGTATCTGAGTGTCTCCCTCCCTGCACATTATGCTGGTCTTCTCATGTATCATCTCCCCCGACAGCCTCCCTCTTTGATTTCTGTGATGCAGTTACCTACTTCCCCAGCTTTCCACCCTTTACCTGGATAGCTTGATCCATCGGTGTGGTATTTTTCACCACCTAGATTATGTTACAATTATATCTCTTCATGATTTGTGAGAACAGAACTACTTGGTTGGTTTTCTTCAGTGCTCTGTTCTCACCCTACGGAAAGAGGGCATAACTTTATAGCTGAGGCTCAGAATACATGCATTGAATTAAAACTGAATCCACTTTACAGATGAGGAAACTGAGACACCAGAAAGGGGAAGGAACATCCCCAGGTCACACAGTGAGTAAGTGGGAGAGATAGCTTTCAACAACTTGGCTCCCAAGTCCACACATATGACTGCTATATTCTATTTAACCCTTTGAAGAAACCATGTTTTCTCAAAGAAAAGATGAGAGGTCCTTGAAAACCCAACAGCAGATGTAGACTTATTACTTTCTGTGACTCCTGCCTACAGCAGTAGACCACAAATGCCACTAACATGGTGTCAGAAAGAAAGGGAAGAGGTCAGAAAGCAAAGGCCACAAAACTATCTTTTGCCTTTTTGGTATTCTGGCTGCACAATTCATTAAATGGAGCAAGAGGG